ATGCAACAGTGGATTAGGGATAATACACATCGTTTAATTCGCTTTGAACCAATCATAGAAATGGAGCATCCTAATCCACCCGTTCTTCATGATATGTGCTATCCCATTAGGAATGCAATCCCCTCATGCATTAGGCTCCCCGAAACAAATGGAATAAGTTTTGAGCTTAGACCGCAATACATAAACATGCTTCCCAAATTCCTTGGTAATGAAACAGAAGACGCATATATTTTTATTTCGGAATTTGAGGAAGTGTGTATTATGATTAAAATGAGAGAATTAAATGAAGATGCGGTTAAGCTTAGATTTATTCCATTTGCTCTTAAGGATAAAGCTAAAAAATGGCTGTACAGCTTACCAACAAATTCCATCTCAACTTGGGATGAATTTGTCACCGTTTTTCTTAAGAAATTTTTTCCTATTCATAAAACGGTAAAGCTTAGGAACAGCATTCAAAACTTTAAAATTATCCCGGGAGAACCTTTTTGGAAGTATTTTGACCGATTTAAAGATCTTCTCATCCAATGTCCTCATCACGGTTTAGAGAAATGGCGATTGTGCCAAATAATTTATGAGGGATTAGATTATTCTGCAAAAACTTCCTTAGAATCAATGTGCCACGGGGATTTTATGAGGAAAAATGCTGATGAAGCTTGGGAGTTTTTGGAGAGTCTTTCTGAAAAAACAATGCAATGGGAACAGTGCGATGACAGGGTTTCATCAGTTCCCCATTCTAAGTCTAGTGGTCTTTCCTTGGAGTCAAACATTGCTTCTGAAGCGAAGATGGCGACAATTCTGCGGAGGTTAGAAGCCTTAGAAATTAAGGAACGAGCTCCAGCTCAACTCAATCATGTTTCTTTCCCAGGATGTCATAATTGTCAGTCTCCTACCCACGTTTCAGAGGAATGCCCTCTCCTAGGAAATAACAACGCAATAGAACAGATGAACGCTGCATTCCAGCACCCTAGAAATGATCCATTTTCTCCAACCTACAATCCAGGTTGGAGAAATCATCCCAACTTTGCATGGAATCTAGGAAATTCTCCCGGAACTCAAAATTTCACTCCCGCTTCGACCCAACATTTTCCTAGGGGAAACACAGTTCCATTCAATTCTCATTCACAATTTCAACAACCCAATCTGCCGTATCAAAATCAGTCTCCTCCTCATCAAGCTGTAATTCAAACTCCTCACAATCCAGATCAAGATAAACGTCTCAATGTCTTGGAAAGGGGTTTAGAAACCATAATTAAGGCCTCTACTCAAACCACGAATATGTTGACTCAAACATCTAGCACGTTGAATTCCTTCATGCAATCAACCGGACAAATGCTCAACTCCAACACTCAAGCTATAGCTAGATTAGAATCCCAACTTGGTCAACTAGCTAGTGCCGTGAGTGAAAGAGAGAAAGGAAAATTTCCGAGTCAACCCGTGGTCAACCCTAATAACACAGGATGCAGTTCATCCTATGAAGCTCAAGTGAATGCAATCCATTCACTTCGGTCAGGTAGACAGGTCGATAATCAAGTGAGAACTCCGCCAAGTCAAACTCTTGATCCTGTACAAATTCCTTCTCCTTCTCCTTCTGATGAATCTATTCAACAATCACTCCCCTCAGATGACCAAGAACCTGAACCCGAACCTGAGCCTGCTTTTGATAGATTTAGACCGGTTGCTCCCTTTCCAGATAGACTCAGGTCTAGGAAACACTCTCCTCAGGAGGAGAAAATCCTAGAGACATTCAAGCAGGTTAAGGTCAACATTCCTCTCTTAGATGTAATTGAACAAATTCCATCTTATGCTAAATTTTTAAAAGAATTGTGCACTAAGAAGAGGAGAATAAATGTCCCAAAGAAAGTCTTTTTAGCCGCCAATATCAGTGAAATGCTGTCAAATCCCATACCTTTGAAACGTAAAGATCCAGGTTCCCCCATCATTTCATGTATCATTGGTAATACTCACATTGATAAGGCGCTTTTAGACTTAGGGGCCAGTGTCAATTTGCTTCCATATTCAGTCTATCAGCAATTGGGTCTAGGTGTACTGAACCCAACCAAATGCACCTTACAGTTGGCTGATAGATCTGTCAAGGTCCCTATGGGTGAGTTAGAGGATGTTCTGATTAAGGTTGGAGATTTTATTTTTCCAGTAGATTTTGTAGTCTTGGAAACACAGCCTGTTTCCAATCCCAAAGGACAGACACCTGTCATCTTAGGACGACCGTTCTTAGCCACTTCTAATGCTCTCATCAACTGTAGAACTGGTCAAATGAAACTGTCCTTTGGGAATTTGACTACTGATCTTAATATTTTTAATCCAGGGGACCAACCAAATAATCAGCCTCTAGAAATAAACTACATTCAGGAAAGATCAGAAGAAGAAGAAGAAGAAGAAGAAGAGTGTGATTGTTTTGAGGAAATTTTTGATGAAGAGTTAGAGTTTTTAGAAGAAGCAGATCAGGTCCTTGAGAATAATAAAACTGTGTTAAACATTTGCTGCTTTGAATTAAATTTTGAAGAACTCTTTCTTGATGAACTTAGATTCTTGGAGAATAATCAACAACCAAATTTTCAGAACTTCACAGAAGAATTGGTTGTTGGAAAACAAAACTTCACAGTACAAGAGTCTAAGTTCATTAAGAAATACAAAATGCATGACACCAATAATACCTACCTTACCTTATTGCATGAATTACTGAACACCCCGAAATGCTTGGAAATTCACATTATTAATTATATCATTCTGAATTTGTTTAAAATCCGGGGAAGAATTTTCAACAGTAAGGTAGGATGAATATTTTATTCTACATTGTTTATTTTGTTGACTTCAAAATAATAAAAAGAATTTATTCTTCTCTCATTTGAGAGTTTCTTGTTCAGTTGTTAAAAAAAAGAAAAAAAAGAAGAAAAAAAAAGAAAAAAAAAGAGAAAAAAAAAGAAAAAAAAGAAAAAAAAGAAGAAGAATAAATTTTTGATTTCATCCTCCTCAGACCAAAGGTAATTACAGATTTTTATCAGCCGACCAAATATAAGTGTTTTACTTCTTATCTGCTTTACTTTATGCATCATAGAGTTTGCATTGAGGACAATGCAAAATTTAGGTGTGGGGGTGGGAATTAGTTATTTTTTTCTCTTTATTTTACATTTAGTTACATTTTCCCTTTTTATTTTACAATTTTAGTGCATTTTTGTCATTTTTTTTCTTTTCCTTAAAAAAAAAAATATCGTCACTTGCCAAATTGATAGAGTTATGTAATAATTGATTTATTTGATAAATTTGAAATTTTCTAATCCCTAGTTAGTTATTTACTTAAGTTCACCTTTTATGATAACTCTAAATAAATTTTTTAAGAAATGATTTTCAAAGTAGTATACTTTACTTAAGCCTTAACTTGGACTTTTATTTAAAATAATGAAATTTTTGCATGCTTAGCTTAAAGTTAAAAATAATTTTTCAAAGTGTCTTGATTTACATATTTTTCAAAATATATATACATATATAAAAAAATTGCAAAATAAGAGTGCGAAAAATGACAAAAAACGAAAAGAAAAAAAAAACTCTTGAATTCAAGGTGATTCTATCTTATAAAGCCTAAGCTGACCGAGTAATTAAGCCCAAGGAGTATTTCCATACTTAATGACCTAAGCCCATTTGGGTTGGGATCCATTGGCCCAAAACTCGTTAAATGGTCACTTAGAAAGCCCGTTAAAGTAGAAAAAAATCACCAAGAAAAAAAGAGTTAAAAAAAAACTAATAAATGTTTTATAGTTGTATATATGGTCTTAGAAAATATTTTAAATCAAGCAACTTGAAAATTATTTAAAACAAAGAGTTAGCATGTTCTTTTCAAAACTTTTAAATTAAATTTCTAAGTTTGGCTTGGTTTTGTATTGCTACAATGAGAAGATTTTCTTAAAAATATACCTTAGAGTTATATATAAAAATGTTTTCTTGAGTGATAACTGGCTCCAATTAGATTATCTAAAAGTTATCAAGTGAATTTAGTTATTTACTGACTTCTTTAATTTGGCAAGTTGACCGAATTTTGTGGGTATATTCACTGCAAACCCTCACGAGACTACAACTCGTCCACTAGGGTAACCTAGGGGTTTAAAGGCTTGTTGTATGCGCTAAATACAACCGCGATTCCTGCGAAAGTGAGTTAGGATTTTCTTTTTATTTTCTTTGCTAGAGGACTAGCAAAAGTTTATTTCCCTTTTATTGCTTATTAGTTAGATTTATTTTCATGCTTGTAATTAGATTTTATTTTCTTGTTAAATAGCCAAGAGGCTAGAACCCTCTTGCCTTAGATTTATTTTATGCTTATAGAGTAGATTTATTTTCGTGCATTTAATTCTTGCAATTTTATTTTATAGTTTAGATTTTGTAATTTATTTTGTAATTAGATTTTAATTTCTTATACTATTCACCTTGAGGCTAGAACCCTCTTGGGTTTAGTTTTTCTTTTTGTTTATTTTTATTTTGTTTGATTCGCCTTTAGGCTAGAACCCTCTAGGGAATCACCCTTTTCTAAGAAGTGGGTTCAATTGTAGATTACCCATATCTATAATTGAATTCACCATCTTTAATTTCTTGTATTTTCTTTTATTCTAGATTTTTGTTCTTCATTCTTGATTTTTTTTTTATTTGTTTCTTGATTTTATTCATTTTTCCTTCTCACCTTATTGATCATACTCATTTCAAATCCACTCTCACTTACACTTTGCATCTATTTACACACTATTTTCACTCTCTCAATCTCTTCACAATCACATTCACTTATCACTCCTATTTGTCACGCACACAAAATAAGAATCAATTTCATATTTTCTCCTACAAAACACCTTCCTCGTGGGATCGATATCTTAAATACTATAACTTGACACGGTTGTGCACTTGCAACCTTTTTGGTACATGTTTATACCGCATCAGTACCCCGCGAAACAAGATCACAAACTGTTAGAGAAAGTTTAGTAAGCTCATATTTGTGGAGCAAAATGGAAAAGTTGAAACTATCGAAGAATATGAGAGCAAGAACAGATTCAACATTTAACGAATTTCTTTTAAGAGTTGGAAATGGCGATGAACTGACAGTGGCTGATGACCTAATAGCATTGTCCACTTCTATTTTGATAAAGAATCAAAGTGATGATTTACCAGAAGATTGTCTAATAAATGTAATTTTCCCATCTTTAGATGAGAACTTCAAATCCATTGACTATATGAAAGATCGAGCTATCCTAGTAACAAAAAATGAATATGTCGACATACTAAATGATAGAATCATAAAACAATTTCCAGGTGAAGAAAAAGAATTCTACAGATTTGATGAAGCAGTTGATGACACTAATCATCACTACCAGCCAGAATTCCTAAACACATTGCTACCAAATGGACTACCACCCCACAAGCTGGTATTAAAGAAACATTGTCCTATTATTTTATTAAGGAACCTGGATCCGACTAATGGGCTATGCAACGGAACAAGAATGGTATGTCAAGATTTTAATTGTAATATAATCCATGCTAAGATCACAATGGGCCAACATGCAGGGAAAGAAGTTTTCTTGCCAAGAATATCATTATCTCCAGCAGAAGATGAAGGGTTCCCGTTCAAGTTTAAACGAAAGCAATTTCCAATACGGTTATGTTTTGCAATGACAATCAATAAATCACAAGGACAAACAATTCCTCATGTAGGCATCTATCTACCTCAACACGTTTTCTCTCATGGACAGCTGTATGTTGCTTTATCACGAGGGACTTCAATGACAACAATCAAAGTCCTAATAATATCAGACGAACAATTTAAAGAATATGAAAGATACACAAAAAATATAGTATACATGGAAGTCCTCCAGCCAACAAACGTGAAATGAACTTCAAAGTCGTAATAGCTATTCTAAAGGTAATTAATTTATAATAATAATTGCATATGTTCATTCATGTTCATTCCTATAATTTATAATTTTCAATATTGTATAACTTTTTCCCTTTAGCATTCACTTTTTAACCCCACTCAAACTATATTATCAGTTAAAAATATGCAAAACCTTATGAGGAACAAGAATTAATAAATTCATTTTCTAAGATATGTTATATTCTATAATATTGTTCAAAACTAACATGTATATTTTTAATCTATTTAACAGAAAATATGATTACCGGTATTGAAGAAAAAACTCAGCACATCCAAATAAGCCAGCTCAAGAAGTTTCAGAAAGAATGGACCATTCATGTTATCATACTTCGAAGTGCAGAGGCAACTTATAAAAATGCAAAAGAATCAGGGAAAATACTAAAGCTAATTCTTGCTGACGCAAAGGTAAAATAAAATTATTTTTAATATTATATTGTTTGTCCAACGTTGCATCTGATCATATGAATATTACTAAATCTCATTTTCTAATCAGTAAATTACATTAAAATACCGATAACTATCAGAATGGCTTTTTATGATGTTTCCCTGTTTACATATAAAATATAGATTAGTATTAATTAATTATATTTTTCATAAATTGATCTCTGGTATTAATAATATTTGTAGGATAACAAAATACAAGCAGTAATGTACGGAGAGACTATCAAAAAGTTTATAGATATGCTTCAAAAAAATCAAATTATTTTCATTTCAAATGGAGAAGTGAAAGGAATAAACCCAGTTTTTTCAAGTATCCACAAGTCACTTGAATTAGTACTAAAAAAATGTATCGATCAAAGAAGCACCAACAGGATTCCACTTGGAGAACATATTTAACAACTTTGTCTAATTTGAAGAAGCACTTTCCATGAAAGATGCAACAAAAATTAGTAAGTACTTACAAACTTCTTGCTTAAATCTTCAATACAAAATGAGACATTAATCTACTAAATCATAATTTTTTTATCAAATCACTTGCAGATATTCTTACAATAACAACTAATGTTAAGCCGACGATCAACTATATTACAAGACACAACAAACCAGACACTAGGAGGGAAATCACGCTTATGGATATAAGGTATATTCATGTTACTTATTTCTAATATCATAAGAGAAAAAAATATTAACGTTCTTTCTTTTTCATATATAGTGGAATGTCAATGCGTGCAACTTTATTAGGAGATTTGGCTACAAATGAAGGATCAATTCTTGAAGCAGAAATCAAATATAAGCCTGTAATAACATTATCAGATTTTTAAATCTCTATATATCAAGGTACATAAATTATTGCTGAAATTCTTATTAAAGATAACTAAACATAAATTTACTCCTATAATTTTCTTATTTTTGTAGGAGATACAAGCATATCGTCGCAAATTATTTCAACATTATGTATCAACCCAAAAATAGAACCAACTAGCGAATTAAGAGAATGGTAAGCAGAACAAGCATACTTTCATATAACTCAATAATGAAATATTATTATATTTTAATCTAATATGCAGGTTTCAATTGGAATAATCTGCAAAAGCAAAAGGATCTTCATCGACGCTTTTTAAAAATACCAAGGAAATTCATATTAGTGATATTATGCATAAGTCACAGAATTCGATACAGGTACAATATTATATACATATTCTTATCTACAAATTTAAATCTAACTAAACTTTGTTAATATACAAGCATGGTATTGCACATTTAAGGCAAAGATAACTACTATTTTAAATAGGCTCGAGCTATAGTTCTATGCTTGCAAAGGCTGTGACAAGAAGGTTGATAAAAATGTTAGTAAAGAGTGTCTGAATGACAAATGCCACAGAATCATTGATGACCCAGTACCAAGGTTAAGTAATATATCTTTTTTAATGCCATGAACATATTAAAATACAATACTAATTGTCTTTAGAAATTAACAATAAAAAATACAAGTACTTAGTTAAGATTCTCGTGGAAAATGACACGGATAATGCAAGAGTAACACTCTTTGACGCAGCAGAAACTCTTATTGGATGCAAAGCAAAAACATTCATTACAGAAAAGAATGAGGTAATTCCTAACTCTATTCAAGTAATAAATTAGAAAATAAACAAATCCATAAGTATTAATATAGCATTTGTTCTCATTGCAACAGAAAAATAATCAGAGTCCATATTTCCAAAAATTTGTTTTGAACATCGAAAAAACATTCAAATTCCTGGTGAAGTTAGATGAAAAGACAAAAGATGAACAAGGCAAAGGCAATATAATAGCACAAGAAATTCAACTTTAGCCTGATATTACAATCGACGTAGATGATGAAGATGCTACTCTAGAGTTACCCAAAAAAAAGATAAAGGTGGAGAAAGATTGATCTTGGTTCAATTAGAAATTTTCAAGAACAATATTTTTTTAATCATTTTATATAACAACTTATTTTTTTATTACAATTAGGAATTTTATAAGCCATTTTCATGCAGAGTTATTAATAGTTTTGTATGCTTATGTGATTGCTTACATCACATAAAATTACACTTTGATATTTAACTATTTTACTATATTTTATTATTGTCTATGGATAGCGCAGCATGTGATCAATCATTTATGATATAAAGGTGACCTCTTTAACCAATTGGCAAAGAATAACTATTATGATGAATTTGCTTGGGGTTGTCACAAACCTCAATATTCATTGTTTTTAAAAAAACATTGGCTTACTAATTATTACTTGTTGAGATTGTTGCCATGTTGAATAAGGGACCAAATTTGATCAAGATTTATTACTTGTTGAGATTGTTGCCATGTTGAATAAGGGACCAAATTTGATCAAGATTTACTTTCATACTTTAATTAAGTTCCATGTTGAATAAGGGACCAAATTTGATCAAGATTTACTTTCATACTTTAATTAAGTTCATGTTAAGTGTTAGTGGTAGTGATCAATTAAAAAATTTTAGAACAAAAATAATTTACAAGTTTGTAGTAAATCAAACAATGATCTTAGCCTTTTAAGTCAAAAAATATTTGAAATAACTTAAATTTTTGAAATATTTTCTACATTACTATGACTAAAATTCATAATAACAATTACAATATACCAGATACGTATATTCATCCAAGTTTAGCTTAAATTGCTTTATATTTATTTTTTTAATATTTAAATAAAATACTAATAAATCTTATAATTCAATAATACATATTTGAACTCAAGATAAATCTTACTTATTTAAAGTAATGAAATAAATATAAAAAAATATTTTTTTTGATATTTAACCACGTGCATTGCACATGAATAAAAACTAGTTTTATAGAAAAGTGTTAATTTTATAGAAAAATATCAATGTGGTGTCAAATTTCTGGGTGATTTCCGCCAATTTTGAGAGAAAATTGATTTCTGTAAATTTTGGTACTTTTCGTACTTTACAGAAAACATTTCTCTAATCTTTTTTGAACCAAACACAGTTTACGAAAATCTATAGAAAATTTTTAATTACAGAATTAACATTGTCAGGCATTTTGAGAAAACTTTTTTATAAAATTGTGCAACCAAACACCCCCCAAGACTAGCAAAAACAGCTAAAAGGTTTTTTTTTTAAATCGTAGTCCTAGTCCCTCAAACCTAGGGGTGAGCATCGGTCGGTTCGGTTCGGTTTTTACCAAAATTTGAATAACCGAACCGAACCGTTACAAGTCGGTTCGGTGCGGTTCGATTCAATTTGTTCAGTTCTAACTTCATCCGATCCCGATACTCGCTGATGGAATATTAGTAGGTATGTAAAGTTGACAGTTAATTATTTCAATATGACAAGGAGTGATACCTAGCCAAGAAGATAGATGTCGGAAGGAAATTTTTAACACCACGGCATAAATATTTGCATAAAAGTTACAAATTTAGCTCCCCCTAATACCAGCCATCATCATTAGACACAAAGTCCATATATTCCTACCTTATGTACAAAATAAAAAATAAATTTCTATTCATCGTGACAGAGCTCAACCACAACCTCGGTCATTATTATATATATGCTTACAGCAAAAGTGCGAACAAAGAGATCCTAAATCCTAATAGCCCACAAGTTCCTCCTCCTCCGCTCAAACTAAATAAAAAGATCAACAAAACCCTAAATGCTTACATCTTAGAGCATCCTGAGTTTCAAAACTCATAAAAAATAGAAAAATCCAGCCTCGAGAGAGAGCTAACCCGTCTCCTGCCGCCGGAAATAGCGCCATGTAGAAAAGATAAGGCGAAGTGAACTGAGTGAGAGAGAGGAAATGAAGAGCGGCAGCTGGGAGAGGAAATGAGTTTAGGCCTTTAGGGTTTGAGTCTTTGACTCTTTGGGTTGGGGACGGGTCGGGTAGGGTTTGAGAATTGCAAACTAAGACTTGTAGTATATTCGGTCGGTTCGGGTCGGTTCAGGTTGAAAAGTTTTCAACCTGACCCGAACCGCCCTACTAATAAAACCAATTTTTTCGGGTCGGTTCGGTCGGTTTTTCGGTTTGGATCGTACCATGTTCAGCCCTACTCAAACCTTCAATAGTTTCATATTTAGTTCCTAAAATCATTGAAATTGCCCATCAGTCCCTTAAACCTTAAGGGGTCTTCTAAATTTGTACCTCAATGACCATAAATACCGTCAAGTTATGTTTCCCTTAAAATTCATGTATTCACATCACATCATATTATATCATATCATATCATATCATACTCTTTATAAAAATGTGAGTTTGAAAAAAAAAACTTTATATTGTTAATATTACCCTTAATCATTTTGGATATTACATATTAATCTTATCCAAATTAATAATACATATTCAAATGTTTTGAAAGCTTGGTGTTGTCATAATCTAGAAACCTAAAAAGGTATTGGTGTATGCTGAAAGTTTTTAACCAAAATTTGATATGAATAGAGATCAAATAGTCATTGAGGTAAAAAAATAATAATCTTTTGATCACAATTTGAAGAAATGAATTAATATATGAGAGAGAGGTGATATAGTTGTATATTTTGTAGGATTTTATAAGATAAGTTTCATCTAAATTAAATATCAATTACAGTTATCATGAATTTCAGCTACTATGTATCAATTAGTGAAGAGATGTGGTAGTGAAGAGAAACTATATATTCAATTAGTCATTTCATAGCTTGCTAACCTTAACAATCCAGAACATAAACAATTAGTGAAGAGATGTGATAGTGAAGAGAAACTATATATTCAATTAGTCATTTCATAGCTTGCTAACCGTAACAATCCAGAACATAAACAGATGGAATATAATAAATATAATATCTGGAAAAAATTTCATAACCAAATCCATGGCTCCTGGTATATGATATTTCCTAAGAGTCTATTAACCAATCAGCATGTGGTAGTGAAGAGACAGCCCAAGGCCAGCCTGGCCCATTTCCTACTCTGAATACTTATCGTTTATTATTGTTGTATTAATTAACTAAAACGGCGGATAAGACTAGCAAAAACAGCTAAAAGGTTTTTTTTTAAATCGTAGTCCTAGTCCCTCAAACCATCAGTAGTTTCATATTTAGTTCCTAAAATCATTGAAATTGCTCATCAGTCCCTTAAACCTTAATGGGTCTTCTAAATTTGTACCTCAATGACCATAAATACCGTCAAGTTATTTTTCCCTTAAAATTCATGTATTCTCATCATATCAATACTAAGAAACAGAGATGAGTCCTGACAGAATGTGTAATTGAGGCAATTGAGATAAAAAAAAGTTCTAAATTGCAAGAATAATCAGATGATATGGAGAATGAAACTTAAATAAAGATGATTCTGATACTAATAAAAAAATTAAAAACATAAGCATCTTCAATTATGTGAAATAGTCAAAGTTAATTATAAAGCAAGTATGTCTCTAAAACAACAAGTAACCATAAAAATATAAATTGAGAGGCATTTGGGTCATTGAGAGACAATTTTGAAAGAACATTTAGGATTTGAGGGACTTATGAGCAATTTCAAAGATTTTGAAAAAAGTATTATGGAATTATTGAAGAATTGAGGGACTAGTATCTAAAATATTCATATGGTTTTTTATACATAAACCCAAACTAGCTGAGGTTAGACATGTATTTCCAACCCAAATTAGATTTGTTGATTTGAACTGAGGGTCTAAATATCGATGACTTAGATGTAAATAACTTAAAAAGATTTGAAGGGGTCTAGTTTCAAAAAATAGATTTCGAGAAACTAACATGAAACTACAGATAATAATCGCTGCATCACATAGTTGCCAACCTAATCGTTTTAGTTTGAATTTGGACCAATGAGAGGACTGCATCCGCAATATGAAAATTAACATAACATTATAGCATGCGAGCAATGCAAACAAAATAACCTTAACATCAGGCTCTTCTCCTGGCAAATAATACCACCAGCACAAGAGAAACCAATACAACAGCAAAATAAAGAAAATAGGTTAGGGAAAAAAAAAGCTCAAGTTACATTTAAGATCTTCTATACATTCTTCTCAATCTACTCAAGTCTCTGAATTCTGGGACGCCGAAACGGATCCCAAGCTCCTATACATCTCAGAAGAAGCAAGCGCAAAGTCTGACATAGCCCTAAAAAGCTCGGGCAAATGCGACTTCAGACTCCCAAGAGACTTCTCTCTAACCTGTCTACAGAGCTTCTGATGAGCTTCAATCTCATCATCCAGTCTAGTCTTCAAAGAATCAACCACAAATTTCCTCTCTGCCACCAAATCCTTCTGATTTGCAACCTCGGGATTCTCCCCCTCGATATCCTCACCCGTTGCTGCCTTCTTCTGTGAATGCTTATGATACCAATCATCAAAAGCCCTAGATTTCTTCATGTACTCTTTCCTAAGCTCTTCACACTTCTCTTTTTGCTTCAATTCTTCCTGTTGTAGAAGCATTATAGTGTTCGTAACCGCCACAAAGCTCTGAATCGCGTTCTTGGCTAGCTCATCCGGAAGTTTCTCCATGTGCTCATGCCAAGATACAAGGAGATCTTGGATAGGGGGATGGTGGACTCTTGGAGGTGATGAGACCTTCTCTTTTAAGTTGCTTTCTGTTGGGATGAGGTTGAGCTTCAGCCAGCTGTTGAGGGCTTGGATGTACTCTTTCTGGTGGCTTATGAGCTTTTGAAATTGAGATTGCCACTCTCGGATGACATCGTGGAGCTGGACTGTGCGGCCGTGGTGGTGTTCGGTTGTTTCCCTGACGGTGGTTAAGATGTCAAGGTTTTTTATGCCGTTGACAATCTTTAGCTGGCTGTCGTGGTGAGAATACATTGTTTCCCACATTTTTGCCATCCTAATTAAGAGACAGCATGACAGTTTTTAATAGAGAAGATGGAACGATGTATTTTCAATAGTTTGGTGGGACAATTAAAGGTTTTTGATGGAACAATGTAAACTACCCTGTAAATTACATACATGGGAATTTTCAATAGTTTGGTGGGATTCAGTATAATTTTAAGAGTTCGAGGGGATTTGTGAAATTCATCCAAACAGAATTGCAGAGGACAGGAAGAAAAAAAGTGTAATGCTTTGCTCACTCTGGGGCTCAATTCTCGCATGTTTCTTGGAAGAAATAAGATGTATCGGACAAAAGTATTTGCAAATAAAAATGGCTCCAGGAAAAAACAGTTGAGAAAAAAACAGTTGATTTCACAACCAGATGGGGAGTGCTAGATTAGGTGATCGACTATCAGAAAATAAGACGCGTGAATCAGTCTAGGAAAAGTTTCGCTGTCAATAGAAGTGTCCATGTAGGGCAGTATCTGAGGCTTTGAAAATGGTAAGGGAAAATTTTCCAAGAGCTCAGGGAAAACAATGGTTAGACCATGCAGAAGGTGCTTTTTTAAATAGGACTGATTTCCTGCAACAACGCTTTTTCCAACAGTATTCTTTGCATTAGGGAGAAGAATAGCGAACTTCTACAGTCAGGATGTTCAAACAGGGTAAGGCTGATGAAAACAGGCGCCACTTTATACAATGTGCCAGGTTATCTAGTACTGCATTACGCCATATATATAATTATGCTAAACAACATAAAATTGGTCAAATTCCAACGTAGCCAATGGTGGATGGGGAGGTAAGGCCAGATATTGGTAAACCAGTGACGATGAAATACCACTTACCTAGTGGCAGTGATAAGATGGTGACAGATTCATAAAAGTTTAGTAGTAAGCTGATAACTTAGGTCTCCAATAAAGTAAAGAACCCATTAAATGGGACCACAAACAACGACAAGGTACATGAATCCTGTTCTTTCTCCTAGTCATGTTCTTTTAAAGGTCATGTCCAAAATTAACAAGTATCAAATTTTGGGATTTCTAAATTAACTACAGTCCCATACTTTTTTGGCACATTTATTGATCCCCACTGCATTGCTCAACCCATCAAGATTAATTCTGCCTCATTCTGTATTGAATGCAAGAAGAAAATTTGTAAGATATTTTTTTTGTGGGCCAGAGGGACTTGGCCGGGAGTGCTTGGCTGGCGGTGCTGGCTGAGAGAAAGCGTGACAAAGTTTCTGGCCGGAGGAGAGAGTGGCCGGAGGTGCTGGTAAGAAGAAGCTTGGGGGCGCGGGGTTGGGGTTGGGACGTGGCCGTGGGTGCTTGGCCACTCTGGGGACACATCGATGGCTCTGCAAAAGCCCCTGTCCTACCACCTATAACAACGGACACCTCCAAGGACGTTGCTGCCCTTGCCTCCTATGAGACTGCCCTGATGACCTAGACTATCGCTGAGGATTGTGTCATTGCAACAATTATTCAATCAGTCTCCCTAGCCATTCGACTTCAGCTTGAGCGATTCGACACAACATCATCTCTATGGGGGTATCTCAAACTTTTCTACACGCAATCAAATGACGCTCAAGAATTTCAGCTATATCAAGAAATCATCACACCACTCAAGGTGATCGCTCGATCCGCGTGTTCAACACCTACATCTTTGACCTCTGGAAGCGGCTCGCCACCCCCAAAACCACTCTACCAGACCCATCTTCCAAGACTATCTACTTGAGCGGTAGAGATCGCTAGCACTTGTATCAATTCTTGATGAAGATTCGATCAGAGTTTGAGTCCACTCGCAGCCAACTCATCCATCATTCTCCCCGACCAATGTTAGAGACAGCTGTTGCTGAACTACAAGCTAAGGAAACATGCCTCCAGCTGATTACCCTCGCCACCAGCCCTGGCTCAATCCTCACCGCATCACGAGCATCATCTTACCGTGGTCGGTCTCTATCCTCAACCAGCGTAGCAACCTCGACCACAACCCCCCACGGTCATGTAGAAGCAGTCTAGACCCCCACCTATAAGCAAAAAGTGGTGCGACTTCCACCAAGCATGGGGACATCTAACACACACGTCTCGTGCATGACTAATTGCTACCTCCCCTACCACACCCCCGTCCGCACCATCACTCTACACCGAACTATTGTGGGTGCTTCATCCCTCTAATGCATCACCCGCTATAGGTCCGCCTGCCATCTCCTACTCCACCTATTCCAAAAACAGTTGGGACTGGCTGTAGTATAATATTCGTTCCCCTCCTGGCCAAGCACCCCCCGGCCCCACCAAAGCTTCTTCCGGCCACGCTCTCCTCCGGCCAACAACTCGGTCACACTTTTCCTCAGCCAGCACCCTTGGCCAAGCTCCCTCTGGCCAAGCTTTTCCCGGCTAGCACTCCCGACCAAGCTCTCTGTCCAAGCTCTCACCGGATAGCTAAGCCCGCACCATCTCTGTCCAAGCCCTCACTAGACAGCACCGCTCACTCTATCTCGACAAACTGTCTTTGGAACCCAAATACAATTTGAGAGGGGGTGTTAAATATAGTAGTTAGGCTCTCTTATTTTATTTTACTTTAGTCTCGCGTTGTTTAGGATCCTAGAACATCTATCGTTGCTCTTGTATCTAAACACTTCAATGCAATCAATAATATTGTCAATTTCACTCAAATCCTTCTATACTTATAGGAACAGAGGACAAGCAGCAGGGAACATCTAGGAGATTTGTTGCACAGAGGAATTCTTGAAGTAAAAAAATAATAGTTGAATGTCATAGACAAAAATAGAATAAAATAGGGTCTGGGAAGAAAAGAAATTCAGGATTAAGTATACACAGCATGGACAAAGAGAAGGAAAATTTAAGATAATTCTGTATTTCAGCTTCAAATAAAATGGTCTCCCTTTATGTATAGAGTTATCACAATATCAAATTGATGGTGATGATGCCTTAATTCTTTACTAGATTGACATATAGTTAGGGTTCTCGCTTAAGGTAAAGATAGGCATAGAAACAAGATTGGTGTTAGGGTAAATTCGTCAAATGATTTCACATTTTTAGGTCATGTGACCATTTTAACTAAGAACCCCTTATACCCCTGGCCGGCAAAACCGGCGGGGGGTATAAGGGGTATTAATGGACCCAGCTGTCTAATTCTTAAAGATATAGGAGAATTAGTGTCACTTTATAAATATAGGGAGGTCAATTGGTTGTAGGTAATAATATAGGAAGGTAATCAGAAATTTTCCTCAAAAAGAAACCAAGAAGGATAATTTAGTGAAATGAAAGGCATTTTTAAATTTGCAACTGCATAATACATACACAGTTGCAAGCAACTTACCCATCAACAAGCTCAACTAATTTTGGGTACAGCTGATCATCCCGCAAACGCTGGATTTCATGCACTGTTGAGTCCATGGACTGCATATCAACTATGTATCTTGTATGCAGATGACTAACAGCTGCTTTAGTTTTTTCAATTGATTCAGCATTGGCACCACGCCTCTTTTGCTTATTCAGTAAAGCCACCTTTCTCTGGTATTCAATTTTCATTAGTTCCCCTGCCTGCCATCAGCAAAAATAACATTAGAATCAGCACTTGTTAAGAGTTACTACAAGCAAATAACCATGCCACAATAAGAAACCTTGAAATGCGAACAAAAATTGAAAGTGATATGACAATGGCAATTGTTTCATGTCTGGAAAATAAACCTACAATAGATTGCTTATGAAAATTAGCATAAACACTATACACTAGAAAAAACTTTGCAATCGATCAGACAAGCTTTTCTCGTAGTGAATAGTCATCTGTGATCATAATAATCAGTGTAAATGAAATAGTAGGTACAATATGTAAAACACTAAGAAATAAGGATAGTTTCTAGTCCAATTCATTGGGCATCTCTTTCTCGCAGTGAAAGGGATAACCTGGCAAATTCCTTCTTTTCTTAATGCCTCGTGTTTGGGAACGTAAAGGATCATGATTGGGAATGAAAGGAGAGACTCGTCTTCTCATTTAAAAATATTTTAACCATGACATAGTTAGCCTATCCAAATTAAGTTAAGATATAACCGAAGGTAGACTACTAAGTTTTGTGCCTAAAGGATGGAATCTATGAAGAGCTAAACTACTTCCAATATCGGCAATAGTTTCTTACGAGGAGGACATATGTTGATACACTTTCTCATCGGCTCAGGCAATAAATTCTACTTCAGTACTTTGCAGAATAAAAGGTAGCTTTCTGTTGGAATTATCAGTTATTCTTTCCATAAAAGTAGTCGCAAGGAGGGAAATGCGATAAATTTTGGTGGTCATTGGCACTGAAGGTGATAGCTAACACATTTGAGCATGATGTCTGCATGCTAGCACGATGCACATGTGCCAGGTAGGAGTGTCTTGGAGGAGGAGAAAGAGTTATTATTGACTAATTGTTGGAAATGTCTTGCAATCAACCTTCCCATGCTTGAGACACCAATACTTCATGACAAGAAGCATAAAAGCTTGAATGGAATGACAAACCAGACCTAAATCCTGTGTACTAATCCATAAGAAATAATTGATTTTCATCCTAACAAGAACACCTCAACACTTATTATCCATGGAATTCTGAATGTATGTATCGGTAGAACAACCATATTATTGACAGATCCACCTATATATACGATGATTTCTGGTATGGGCGACCTCGGAGTTCGAGACTAAGGTGAATATTTTTAGTATGTTGGATGATTATAATTGTTGAAGGTTTCCCCAATGAAATGATTCGGAGGGTTAAAATTATAGCAGCCAGGGGGATATTTCTTGAAAACCAGAAGGCACTGCAAACCTAAGGCTCTCTCTTTTCTTCAAAATGGTCACCTTTATTTGCCCATTGAAGGTTATTCTTTATTGATAGTTAGATAGGTTGTTTCAACTATTGAGTGAGAGAGAGAGAGAGAGAGAGAGAGAGAGAACATTGTTAATTGGAGGTCAATCCTTTGTTGTACGTATTGCAGTTTATTAGCCATGGTTACATAAGATATTCTGTATTTCTGGTTACCTTTGCTTAGTGCACTTTTCATCTCTCTGGTTATTTTTAACAGCAGAGTAGTTCTAACCAGTAGGCACTAAAGAATTGACCACTGCTCCTCTCTCACTCTCATGCCTTGTCATTCGCCTAGGTTTTTTCTGGCAAGTTTTTTCTCATTAAAAAGTGCTTGTGTTATTGTGATTTCTTCTTTAGTTGTTTGTTGATTAATCTATTATTGTTGCTTCTCACAGTCAGTAATTGAAGGAAGGAGATGGGGGGGGGGGGCCCGCCTTCTTGTCAAGATGCCCAACACACCTAATCATACCATGATTATAAACTTGCGAGTATATAAATTAATCTAAATTTAGTAAACTAGTAAATGTTAATGCCAACTACTATAACAAAAGACCGACTAACTATTTTTGCACCATTACAAGTGTTACAATATCATGCTCAAATGGAGTACTTTTCTGTCAAAGTAATAATGGCCTTGGTGCTAAGGAAAAATATACTTAACATATCGGAAGAAACAGAATTTACTCAAAGTTTATGTGAATAGCTAACACCTGAATATTATAAATGATAATTAAGATTAAGTTTTGGTTTAAGGAAACTTACCTTCACTTCTTCATATAGTTTCTTTTCCCATGCCAGCATCTTATCTAAAACAGTTGCATGTGTTTCCCATTCATCGTTATCAAAATCATCTCTCCCATCAATTGTATTAAGCATTCCTTTGAATGACCTATTCCATGTTATGACCCGCATGACTCTGGCAGAATGATCAATATGCCCTGCAATCAAGATATGTATAATTTAATTACAGCATCTAACTGAAATAACACAATTCAAGAACGAAGGAAATTGCAAGCAAATGGAACAAATATGTAAAACAAGGTAGGTTGTGAAAAGCTTAAACCTGTACCTTCTAATGACCGTCAAGCTAAAATTGAAACAAACTATAATGGAGGTATACAGCATGATTGGAAATGAAATTCCATGTAGATAGAAATATAACCCGGTATGCTAAACAAGCAAGTGTTGAAGCACATAAGTGCACATTTAAATACAATGAGGAGTCTAGCAACTTAACTTGAAACTGACTATAATGGAGGTACAAAGCATTATGGGAAATGAAATTTCCATCAAATAACAATTAAGCCCAGTGCACCTAACAAGCTAGTGTAGAAGTACATAGCCACACATTTAAATACAATAAAATAAGGAAAATTACACAAAACCATCATACGAAAGGGGCAACAAAACAGCTAAAATCAGAATATGCTTTGCTAATTCCACACAAAAAGTAGCATGGATTTGATCGAGAATATATATTTCATCACGCCTGAAATACAAATTGTACTACTGATCTTAAAATCAAGATCATCCTACTTTGTTAGGACTAGGATATATTATATTGTCCACAAATAACCATCACATTAGGGCAGAACACAAGCTTGAACCATAAATGAATTTGAACAACATAAGCTCAGATCCGAAATAAAGTTCAACTCTACTTTACGGAAATTCCCTACTAGGATAGGTAAATAAATTTCAATTGATGGAACATATCAATATCAAAGACGTTTGAAGTCAAAGTAGAAGAGAAATGTAATCTAAATAACATAAAGTTAAGAATGAATTCAACATAGTCATTTTTCGTTCTTATTCAAAGTGTCGGCTTGAGAAATGAAACCTAGAACATTGATTTACTCTATTTCGCCATTTTTTTGGCACTAAGTGGGAGCACTTAGTCTTAGATAAATTAGATTGATAATGACTTATTAACCAATTTTTTCCATTCATTCATTCCAGACTTATGAAATTTCTCATCCCTTGGTTGGGAATCAAATATTCCTCGTGTCGTCCAATAATTCTTGATTATATCCCAAAGAACAGGATAGGTACCCAAATATTGAAGTACAAATCTCTAATGATACTTGTTAACTAATTGATTTTGTGATAATTAGTAAAAAGAACATATGCCTGAGACAAAGAAGATAAGTCACAAGAAATGTTAGAATCTCTGGTACTAATATTAGTATTAGAAAATAACTTTATACTCAAAAAAAGAGTTCATTATATTTTGATTTATCTTTTCAGTTCCTTCTTGATTTATTTGAAAAGTTCTCCATGCAATGGACTCATACATTTTGTTCGTGGTCATAGCTGATAGCTGCATAGTTTGTTTCTCAATGTAGCACCCGCAAGTTGTCTAACTGATAGAAAATCTTTCGCATTATATTGTATATTTATTGGAGAGGAAAATTATTTCTTAAAAAGTAAGAACAAAATGAGTTGTGCTATCTAGAGATGAGTCGGAGTAACGACTTATGGTTGATACTACCTGCAAGCTAATTTGATTAGGACCCTTTGATTGAATTTATCATCAATATTAGACCAAATATGCGATTATTCTGTGATAATCAGGCAGTGATTCACAGTTCTAGTAATCCTGTATTCCATGAATTAAACATCCACATTCAAATGTACTGTCCTTTGGTTCGAGAAAGGATAACCAGAAAGGTCGTTGAAATGAAACATATAACATTCATTAATCAGCAGACAGATCTTTTGAAGAAACACTTGGAAGATCACAAGTTCCTTTTACATGTGACCAACAGGGTATGTACGATGTATATGCTTCAGTTGAAAGGGAGTGTTGGGAAATATAAAAATAAAGTGTCTTATGCATAATAGTGTTTTCATTATATAATAGGTAATGATAAGATGAAGTTTTGGGGTTTTAAGATTTAGTTCCATGTTTGAAAATTCTATAACCGTAATATGTTTTCTTTATTGTGAGCAAAACTTTTGAGTATCCATCTTCGGAATTAAGATCTTACTCAACATGACATGTTGTAAGTAGCTTTGAATACATTTTATCTGCTACTAATGGAATAATTCTTGACATAGCTTTCCAAATAAACGACCAATCTCCCACATTCAGACAAAATGAAGAAGAACCACCGTTGCAAAATGTACCTCTATTATCCGCAAAGTTTGAGTGATAATGCATCCTATTTGCCTCCAACATCTTCGAAACTTCATGTGCACCCTCCGACGCCTTCAAGAAATGATCATCCAAATCCATCAGCACCTGCAACAAGCTCACGCTCATCTTCTCCATCACCCCCGTCCTATCAACCATCTTCCCCTTCTTCATCTCCACGGCACCCTCAGACGCCGCATGCTGATGGTGCACATTCACCACCGTCTTCTTCTCGGGCCTCGGCGGCAGCCCTTCTGGCGGCGTCATCATCGGAGGCGTCTCCGGCGGTGGTGGAGGCGGCAGCGGCGGATCCATCACCCCCTTCTCCGGCGTCACCGGCTCCTCAATCTCCTCACCCTGCAAAGAACCCCCTTGCCAGCCTATATTCGCAAGAACTATCCCAAGTCCCATCCTTTTTTGATCGGGACGGCGGTAGGAGGCGGCGGATCGGCGTCGACTTTCAGGGGCTTTTCTGTCATTCCTCTGCTCCTCTCTCCTCAGTTCTCAGCGCTCCTCCTCAATTCTCACTGTATAGTAGCATCTAAGAACCTTTCGAATGCTGAAACTCTGCTTCGGGATTCCGGTATTGCTCGCCTGCTCTCTGTCAGCGGCGATCGGCGAGAATCGCGAGCAGCCGGCGGAGGCGGCGGGCGGGAGAGATTCTGATCGGGGCTTCTGGACTGCAGAAACCGAGGCCGCGACGGACGAGGCGAACCGGCGTTAACGGACGATTGAGCTGCTCGGATGGTGGGATTCTCCATGGCCGAAGTCGCTGAGGGCGGCGCCGGAGTTCTTGAGCGCCATTGTGTAGGAGGAGTGAGCAGCAGCGAAGGCGTTGCGGGCGGTGACGGCATCGCGCATGAACTGCTTCCGATCCTTGCACCTCGAGACCGATTCCTCGTTCTCGATTCGAGATTGGGCGCAGCCCATTGACGGAGGTTTAAGGGAATTAGGGTTCCGAGCCACTATTTGGGGTGGTTTATTTTGATTTGTGTTTTTGGCTCGCTAAATGGGTGTTAAAATTTCTTAGACTAGACGTTAGCGGGCGGCCACACGTGCGGCTGGACGCTTGCGAGGTTTGCCTGAGGGGGAATAACAGCTTTTTTTGAGGGGGGGGGGGGGGTGGGGGTACGGGAAAGGGGTCACGAGCTGCTGTTGGCAGTGAGTGGGGCCCGCATATACTCAGGATTTTCGGGTGGGATGAGAGCACTTTTTTCTTTTGACTCTACGGGACCGTTTGGTTGTTTTTTTTCTTGAAAATATTGTAGTTGTCCGGCACAGTATTTGGTTGCTTTCGCTCGAAAGTATTGTACTTGTCACGCTACAATACTTTCACACGTTTAGGGGGTGTTTGTTTCAAGCTTTTTTTTTGTGATTATAAATTCTAGTACGTGAAAATGGGTTTTCTTGAGTTATGGGATTCCAAAAATAGTGTTTGTTTCAAAAATAATTATAGGATATGAAATTCTAAAAGGGGATATATCTGACAACTTTTAGCATTTTGTAAATCCTAGCTTTGAGCTGGGATTTCGGTGGATATCTGACAAAACCCAGCCCACCTCAGCAGCTCCACTCCCGTGATCCCTAAAACTGACCGATACCATCACCCCTGCCGTTTCATTCTCCGCGTGAAAACCTTAGGCCCCGTTCCCTCTTTTCCGCGCGAAAACCCTAAGCCTCGTTCCCTCTTTTCCGCCTCCACGACACTCCTATTCGTCGTCATCCTCACCGGACTCCACCTGGTCCTCAGTTTATTGGCTTGCTGCTGTTTTGGCTATTCTCACTTGCTGAGCCTACCTCACTTGCTGAAATTGGTTTGGGGTTTCTAAGGCTACCTCACTTGCTGATCTAGGGTTCCAACTGATCCTCTCTCCGACCACGCAGGTATATCTCCTCCCTTTGCCTTCAAAATTAGGGTTTTGAAATACTTGATTTGGGGGTTTTTGTGAAATTAATTCGGGTTCAGTTGGGTGCCGACAAATTTTGTATCCATGGAGGTCTGAACTTTGTTGTTGGAATTGTTTGGGTTTGCTTGTTGACTTGTTAATGATGGCTTGTGCTTTAAACTTGGTTGCTTGTGATTTTGTTGCTGGAGGTCTGTGATTTTGTTGCTGTTGGTCTGGGTTGCTGGGTTTGTTGCTTTTGATTTGGCTAATTACTGTTGGGAATTTCATGGCGATGCTTTGTTTTCTGAGGATGCTGTTTTCTGAGTTTTCTTTGTTACAAACTGTTAAACAGGATGATGTTATTCACCGACAAATTATTCGGTTCATTGTTAGTGATATGCCGACAATTTGTGAAATTGATTTGGGTTCAGTTGGGTTTAGACTGATTATAAGCCTTTGTATTTGGTTTGACTTTTGAGTTCACAATTTACATATTAGACTGATTATAAGCCTTTGTATTTGGTTTGACTTTTGAGTTCACAATTTACATAGATTACTTAAAAATTTTTGATACTAGATTTTGAAACCTGTAAATGATGTATATAATATTAAGGAAACTCATGTGTTGATTTAAAGATGTCATCTTGTATTAATAGAACTCAGGCATGCGTATGGGTATAAATTTGCATTATTGGCACACTAGATTTTGACAATGAATTTGTACTAAAAAATGCAAGCAAAATATTTAGTATAAAACAAAATCACTTCATTTGAATAGGTATGCATTGACTTGTTCTTGACATCAAAAGTTACTTATGCTCACGTTTTAGATATTTTTTTATTACAACTACTTTTTACGTGTTTTAATTTAGGTGAAAATCAAGTTGAACATGTATATTGAACTTCCATGTAGATGGACGATATTGATGAAGAAATGCTAGTGAGGATGGCTTCTAATACCACTATCTATGCGGTCATTTGTGTGTTTGCTTGTTTAATGAGGAGACGTAGTCGAAGGAAATCAATCAGTTATCACCCTAACACATGCCAAAAAGAGAAGATAGTTTCTAGAGCTAGGCACATAAGCCGTGTGTTCAATGGCTTCAATGAGAGTTGTAGGTCTTATGTTAGAATGAGGCCACACGCATTTGAAAAGCTTGTTAGCATAATGAGATATACCGGCCTACTACAAGATTCACGTGATGTTAAAGTAGAAGAGCAATTGCCCATGTTCCTTAATATATTGGGCCATAAAACAAAAAATAGAATTGTTAGGTCACATTTCATAAGATCGGGGGAAACCGTTTCAAAATACTTTAACAAGTGCTTGGAAGCTGTGGGGCATTTAAGAGGGCGATACATGAAGCAAGCACCAAATGAATTATCGTCAGGAATTGCCGCCAACCAGTTATACTATCCTTATTTCAAGGTAATTAATAAGATAACTAAACTTCTTATAACACACCACGTATTTTTACTTTTTTATTATTAATGATTGTTTAATATATCATATAGGATTGCATTGGCATGATTGATGGAACCCATATCGACGCCATGCTTCCCGCTAACCTTGTTGCACGTTTTAGATGACGTAAAGGTGTACCTCAAAATGTTCTAGCTGCATGCACTCCCAACAAGTTATTTTCGTATGTTCTAGCTGGATGAGAGGGATCCGCAAATGATTATAGAGTTTTGCAAGATGCACTATCTAGACCACAGCCTCGCGGAATGAGAATTTACAATGGTGATAAATCAAACAAATACATTCTGTGTATTTAATTTAATTTAAGAAGTTTACTAAATATATTTTTGGTAATTGTAGGAAAATATTATTTGTGTGATGCGGGCTACACTACTATGCCCGGCTTTATCTCCTCATATCGAGGAGTGCGTTATCATTTAAACGAGCACAAGGGTAGGCCATCCATAATAGACAAGAGTTGTTCAATTTAAGACACTCATCTCTAAGGTCTAAAATTGAATCAACCTTTGGGGTATTGAAAAATCGTTTTAAAATCCTTTCTGCGAAGCCACATTACCCCTTTTCAACTCAAGTTGATATAGTTATTGCATGTACTATACTGTATAACTACATCGCCATAGAAGATCCGGGAGATGAGTTGTTGCATGAGGAAAATTTCATTGAAGATGATGTTGGCGAAATAGCTAATGAGGATGAAGATGGTGTTGTTGACTTTAGTCAAACTATGACACAAAGAGAGGAAAGAGATTCAAGAAATGAATGAAGGTTAAAGAGGGATCAAATTACAGTTGAAATGTGGCATAATTATTGTAATAAATATCGTGGTGGGAACACAACCGAGATTGGGATGTAATTTAAGTTATTGTAGGCTGTCTAAAAATCACAATAGATAGCTTATCCCAACAAGCTCCGACAATGGAGGTCACAATCAGACGACTTCCCAATCACTGCATCCGCAACTCCACAATCGCCACAAACACGACCTCACTTCTGAGACGATTGATCTTGATGGCTGCGACAACAGCACTAATATTATATTAACAACTATTAGAGATGCTGATGAGTAGTGGAATGATTTCAGAAATAAAAGGCTGGACTTAGTTGGTGAGTTGCCTGGTAGAGAGCTGTGGGCAAATATTCATCTTTGAGACACTATGGATGTTGATTTCCGTCTAGCTCCTACAACGAAAGCTACAATCAAATAGCTTTCGCGCCGATAATAAAAACATACAATCAGATAGTTGTTTGGTAGAGAGCTGTGGGTAAATATTCATCTTCAAAACACTATGGATGTTGATTCCCGTCTAGCTCCTACAACGAAAGCTACCATCAAATAGCTTTCGGGTCGGTGAACGAAGGTTGCGAATGGAGGGCTTTTCACATAGATCGAGAGGAGTTACAATTCAACGACACTTCCGACGACGGATGAAAACTCTATTCAGCAGTCTTCACAATTTACAGTGAAAGTTACAATCTGACGACTTTCATACCCTACAACAGCTAAAGCCAGGATTACTGAACAACGGTCCTCGCAACGCTTCACAGAAGAAGCTACAAGTCAAAAAGCTCCTTCTGAAATGCGGATGTCATCCCCGCGTTACAAATATGGGGAGGCAGGTGACTTCCGCGTCTCCAAGGCACAAGCCAAACGTGAGCGACCCTCGCGTTCATAGGGGTTCAACCAACACTGACCCCCGCGTTTACAAGCAGGCAACAAGCCAAAACGCGAGCGACCCTCGCGTTCAATGGTGTTCCAGCTAACACCCAACCTCGCGTCTCAATCCTAAGAAGCGAAGTTGGGTTCTGAACGCCAGATTGGGCGTTTTGACTTGTTCAAACATAAGTCGAACGGTTCCAAAACCGTTTATCCCACGTTCTGAGGGTATTTTCACCCACGTAGGAGCGGATATAGGGGTCAGTTACAACCTCTTATCCCCCTATAAAAACTCAACGAACTCAACTGAGTTAGGGGTTCGATTTTTTCTGGGCTCAGGGCAGAGGCTGGTGGCTGGCTCTTTGAAAACAGAAGATTTGGCAAGGATCAAAACCACTTGGGTTTGGAGATTTGGCAGCAGCGAAATCCTTGGAGATAGGATTTTTGAATCAATCTCAGAAAATCAAATCTGAGGGGATTCGTCAGCAACAGAATGACAGCTTGATCATTAACCGAATTTTCGGTTCCAACAACTCTACTCACAGAGTTCAAACTCGTTCAGAGTTCTTAAACTCATTCAGAGTTATTCATAAAACTTTCCACGAAAGTTCATCGTTCCCACGAGATAAAGACGGTCGGATCGTCAACGGAGAGCAAGTTCGACGCAATCAATCGAAGGAAGCACTCCATCGCTGCCAAGAAGAACCCAGTTTTAAACAAAGGGGAAAACCAAATTCGTTTTCCTCTCTTTTGTAATCAAGTTGTAACCGAGATCAAAGGAATCAAAATCACATTTTCTTTATTCTCTTCTGAAGCATTATCCTCTGGATCGCTTAGCCCCAAGGCTAAGCACGATGCCCGCAAGACCTTCAACAAGGTCAATTCTGTTGTTGAAGTGCCGAAGAAAGCCCTCTCCTTCGGCCAGGAACTCAAACTGGCTTTGTTGGCGGAAAGTCCCACATCCGCGTCAGCAAGACATGCTTCGGGCCACAAACGGCCTCTGGAGGAGACGAGTCCTGTAAACGTCAACGACGTTGCTGCTAAGGCTTTGAAACAAGCCAAAAAGAACGCCGCTCGCCGACAGAGAAGATCCATACGACGAGCACACTTACGAGAAAGCCGATTGCCGGCCCAACGCGAAGATCGCGTTTCGGAAAATCCAACCGAGCCTAGCGTTCCCAAAGAAGAACGCTCACTGCGTGGCAATGAGCCCAACTATGAGCCTCGGCTGATACAGCTCAAACGCGACCCTGAGTGGCGCGTTGTGCAGTCAAAACGCAGCCCTCAGCGCGGAACTGCCAAAACCAAACGCGACCCTCAGGGGTGCGTTCCAATAAAACATGACTCTCACGAGTCTGTTTCACAAAATAAACGCGACCCTCATGTGCATTCAAACGAAGCATGACTCTCAGGGGTCTGTTTCACAAATTAAACGCGACCCTCAGGTGCGCGTTCAAACTCAGGGGTCTGTTTCACAAATTAAACGCGACCCTCAGGTGCGCGTTCAAACGAAGCATGACTCTCAGGGGTCTGTTTCACAAATTAAACGCGACCCTCAGGTGCGCGTTCAAACGAAGCATGACTCTCAGGAGTCTGTTTCACTAACCAAACGCGATCCTCAAGGGCGCGTTCAACCAAAACTTGACTCTCAAAGTTTAGGTTCATCATTTAAACGCAGGCCTCGGCCTAGTGTTTTCAAATCCCAACGCGACCCTCGCGTTACTTCTCAAGAACGCGATCTTCAAGAGGTCCGTCAGGTTCAAAAAAGTCAGCGTGGCTTCAAAATCCACGTTCGACAAGAACCAATATTACCTACCCAAGGGCAGGGGGTTCCATCTCCACCTCCAAGCCCGGGGAAAGTTTCCTCCCAAGTTCCTGATCCGCGGGAATTATTGTCAAGAGGAAAACCAATAGCACAGGCAACTCACTCATGTCAATGTGAGAGGCTTATCTCGGCGGTCCTGTCAGAATGCCCTTGTTGTGCATCCGCACCTCGGCAGTCCGTATTCGACAGGTTGACGAACGTTGTTAGGCCTGCCAAACGACAACGCCGCAACAGAAAGAAGACAACTGAAGCGGAATACCCTCAGGTCACAATCAACATGATCGTCCGAGGGAAGGCCTCGCATACTGATTCCGACGAGTCACAAGAGAGTCATCCGCCAACTGTCCAAGAAATTTGTAACCAGTTCGAAGGAGTATATCAGAATACTCGGACTCGGACAGGAGCCATTCGTCCGGTTAACTATCAAAAGTTAGCCAAGGGCGTCACCACAAGTGATGAACATTCGGCAATAGCCGAATCTCAATCTTCAAGCTCTGTCGGAGCACGGGAGGTCTCCGCTTACACGACGGGGAACCATGAAGATATAGCCAAAAGAGTGGACGAACATCATGTCATGCTCCAGGCACAGCAGGAGACACTTCTCCAGTTAAAGGATATGTTGGCTCAGCTTCTTGCTGAAAAAGGCCACAAACCTGAGTCTTCCCGGAGAACAACTTCAAAGGGAAAATAAAAAGTGCACGAACATTCAGATCGTGAGACTCACAACCTGGGGTCCTCTTCTGAAGGTGAGAAGGAGATGGAGAAAGAACTGCACCCTCAATCTACCAAGGTGGATGAGCTGGAGGCTCGCCTTAACGCAATCGCCAACAGAAGCGAACTCCGCGAAGAAGGGGTAGTGCGGCCTTACCCTGCTGAGTGGGATACAGCTCCCTACCCACCGAAGTTTAAGGCTCCTACCTTGCAACCGTTCGATGGTACAGGATCGTCGAATCAGCACATTTACTACTTTAAGTCCCAAACTGGGGATGTGGTAGCAAACGACGCCATCCTGACCAGGCTATTCATCGGTACCCTTAAAGGTGTCGCTTTCGAATGGTTCATGAAATTGCCTGCCGGATCTATCCAAAAATGGGTAGACCTGGAAAGGCTATTCTTGGCCAGGTTCTTTGAGGACGATACAGAGGTCTCAGTCCCGACTCTTCTTGCCACTAAGCAAAGGAAAGGAGAGTCTATCAAGACCTATGTGGAAAGATTCCGCAGCATGGCATTACGATGCCCCTCAGGTATGACACAATCAACTCTGGTTGAAACTTGCAGGCACAACCTGCAGACCCAGCTCCTTGCTCAAATGGGGGTGGCAGAATGTCGCTCCTGGAGACAACTAGTTTCACAAGGAGAACAAGCTGAGGAGATAGTGGCGCGTGTCAAAGCTGAAGAAGTACCACAACCCAAGCCACAGCAGCAACGCAATCAGCAAAATGCACAGCGGTCTAAGGGAAAGGAGACTTTGGCAGCCGACTACACACGAGTACCACCGCCGAATAAGCAAGGCAAGGCACCAAATCAGCAATCAACAAAGAGCGCCCAAGCAATATTCGTTTAAAGAGGAGCATGTGGATACCTTATTCCAGTTGCTTCGAAAGAACAACAAGCTGCAATTGCCTGAG